AAAAAAAAAAGAAAAAAAAACTACTTGTAAAAATATTTTCTCCTTCTTGCTCCTTCCTCCGCCTCAAGTGGGCCCAACTTGTGCGGCGCAAGTGCCCAAGCGCGGTGGAGTCCGACTGCCCGCTTCTTGCCCGCTTCCCGCCCTTCCCCCACTTGCTTCTTTCCTCTCGCTCAGGCTGGGGCTTCCTTGTGTCTTTAAGTTCGGAAGCGGGTGAGGGGGCCTGGATCCGCGGGGGGAGAGAGGGGGCCCCCTTTCAAATGGCCCAAATTAATGTGATCGCGACATGAGGGTGCACTTGGGGAAGATGAAAGCGGGGGCCGGCCGGCTCCTCCTAGAGCTCTATAATTATAGATAATATATCCCATTTCAAAGCAATTAGACCAATCAGGCGTAACGAACCACTTTGCTGCCGACGAATAACAAAGGCGCACGGTTATTTAAGCCTGGAGATGTCAGGCAGACCCCGAGGCTCCGGGGGCCGACCATCCCGGCTCTGCCCACCCTGGGCCGAGGGAGGCTCGCCCTTCTCCCCGCCAGGCTCTGCCCAGCCGGCTGAGGGCCCCGTCTCAGTTCCGGCAAGGGCCTGGAGGGCCAGGGGATTGGAGGGAAGGAATGCGAAAAAGAAAATTGACTTCTATTGAGCAGGGTGTCAGGCCTGTCGTCAGAGGTTTTGCAAACTTTATCCGATTTAATCCCCTCCACCCGGGGAGATAGGCATTATTATAGGCTTTCTTCGCCTTCCACATGACAAAACAGAATCAGAGAGGTAAAGTGTCTTGCCCAGGGTCACACAGCTAGTTAGCGGTGGCGCCGGGATCCAGACGCGGGTGGGTCTGAACCCCCGAAACCCACTCCTTACACTGCGGGGAGCGGTCTCTCTCGCTGCGCTTTCAAGAGACGAAATGAATGCATTGAAATACCGCGGAGGCCGGCAGTTTTGGGTGGAACCGCCTTCGAGTCCCGCCCCCAGTCCGCAAAATGGGTGTTGGGGGCAGCGCTCAGTACCCTTCCCTTCTGCTCCTCCCCTCCCCCTGCCCACCACCTACTTGAGAGTCTTGGAGACTGTCCAGCTTTTCTTATGAAAGTTACCAAATGCCGAGGATCTCAGGTCTCGCAGAGAAGAAAACAGGCGCGCCAACGGCGAGAGGCGTCACCAGCCGAAGGCTGAGGGCCAGTTTTTCCGAGCCTCGGTTTATTCACTTTCAAAGTGGGTGCGCTGTGCCGCGGCTCGGATACCGTGAGCTCGCCCGCAGCTGCTCGCCGGGCCCACGGCCGGCTCCGCTCTGTGGCAGGTTCCCCGGCGCTGCGCGCACTTGGCATCGAGGGGGCTGGGGCCTTTCCTCTGGGCCTGCGGATTCCTGCCCTGCAGGAGAATGCAGGGTCGGGGAGGCCCGCCCTGCCGGATCATCGAGGAAGGTCCGAGGTGCCTGTGTTGGCGGGGGACCTCGGGCTTCACGCCCCCCACCCCCCGCACCCAGCGCAGCCACCCCGCGAAGGAGAGTGAGAGACGCAGACAGGGCGGGGAAGAGGCGGCCCAGTGATGGAGGGAGGCAGGAAGGCAGAGAAGCCCAGGCGAAAAGAAACTCAGGACACAGAGATGCTGACAGGCACTTGTGGCAGAAATGGGAAGCGACTGTGGGGCGCCGAGGAGGTCCAGAGCCGCACTAGAAGAGAGAGCAGAGGAGGGGAGCCTAGGCAGTGACCCTGGAAGTGTGCCCCCCCACCTGCCAGGGGGGCAGCCCGAAGGACTTTGTGGGAGGCGCCCCTTCTGTGAGGAGGGGTGGGGAATGAGGTTAGGGGGGCCTGCAGCCCCTCTCCCCACGATTCCCACCTCTTCCTTCTTTCTCTGCTCTCTCTCCCTCGGGTCCTGACTTCTGACATTCCTTCTGGGCATCCTCCCTTTCTCCCCCTCTATCTCTCTGTCTCTCTCTCTTTCAGATGGGTCTCTCTCGGAAGCCCCGGTCTCTGATCTCTGTGCTTCTGTCTCTCCATGGCAGGGTCTCTTTTCTCCCCTGTCCGCCTGTCCCTTTCTCGGAGTCCCTCTCGCCTGCCCACTCCTCCTCCCCATCACCATTCAGTTAGAACTACTGTCCTCAAACCACTCAGAAGCTAATGCGACCTCGGTCGGTTTTGTCTGCAGATAGCTTCCGATTTCTGGAGCGGCCATTCCCACCTCCGAGAGCAGGGGGAAGTGTCCCTCCCCGCCCTGGCTCCTGCCTCTCCTGCCAATAACTGGAGCCAGTAACTTCTAGCCTCAGTTTCCACATCTGGGCTGTGAACTGCACAGTGTACCCTCTGCCTGGGGTCATGGGGAGGATAGGAAAGGGGTGTGGCCCAGGTCCTGCCCTGCGGAGAGGCCGTTGGCTCCGGATCTGGACCCGCCAGGGACACCTAGGCCCCACCCCACCTGGCTTGTCCCTCCTGCCTGGGATGCCCCCTGGAAAGTTCTCAGAGGGAAAAGACTCCCCCTTCCCCCCGCGCAGAATTTCGATCCTCTGACACTTTCTATGCACCGAAGCTCAACCATCCAGAAAAGACAGCGGCTGGCCTATGCCCTACACACCCCTCCCTCCCTTCAGGCCTCCAAGGTCCTGAAGCCTCCCTGTGACCTTCAACCTGGAAGGCAGAGTCCAGGAACCCTCCAGCATGCAGTAAGCGCTCAATCCGTGTGCAAGGGAGCAGCCGTGTGGCCTAGAGAGGGAAACTGAGGCTGAGACGCACAGAAGCGGCACTAACCTACAGGTTCCCCGGCCAACCCTAACCCAGTGCTCATCCCTCCCCGGCTCCCAGGAAGGTCAGGAAACCTGGGTGTCCCCTCGGGGACAAGTGGTTTGCACCTTGCGAGGACTCCGGTGCCAGAGTAGGAAGCGGAGTGCCCCCTGGCGCACGCTGGCCCCGATAAGTTCAGGGAGCGTCTGGCCTGCGTCTCCGGTGAGGGCTGGGGACACCGGCTCCGAGTCTGGAGGCAGGGTTCGGTTATTCCTGGAGCTGGGGGAGGGGACGGTGGATGCTGGAGCGAACCCACCCGCACTGAGCAGAGATTATGTGCTAGGTGTTTCCAACGCATCACCACAAGTAACTTCTCACAACAGTCCCCGGGGTGGGCATCCCATCTTCCAGATGAGAAAACTGAGATGCAGCAAGTTGAAGTCGCGTGCTTCAGGCCGCGCAGCTGGGCCGCTCCGGCCACCAGGACACGGGAACCAGCGAGCGCTAGGGCGCGGTTTCCGCCGCGCCACGCGTGCAGGGAAGACCGGGAATCTTTGGTGTCCCCCTCCCAGCCTCTAGCACGGGGTAGGCGGGCCGTGGAGGTCGCACATGCCGGAGAATTTGATTCAGTTCTGCTTTCCTCCACCTCCCGCGGGTTTGGCGCGCGCGCGCGCGCGATTGCCCAGGCCCTGCAGTGGTGAGACCCGCAGATTCTGGGCGCTCCCCGAGGGGGCGGGGTCACGACTCCTGCAAAGCCAAGCCGCTCCGGATCCGGGGATCCCGGCCCCGCCTGCCAGGGACCCAGGCGAATGACACAGCGCCTGCCTGAACCCCAGGTGCTACATCCGTGGAATGGACCCCGCTTTGCGGTGCTCCCTGAGACTGTTTGAAAAGGATCAGAGTCCAGGGAAACTGGAAAACGAAGGCGCTAAACGCCAGGATGGGAATAAGTCCTGCTATTGGTAATAGTTGAAGCCTCTTGGCAATTACTATCGCCAGGCACTGTTCTGAGCTCGTAAGTATCTTGATGCTTGTAATCCCGGCAGCAAGTCCCTTTTTATCCCTGGTTACACGTGGGGAAACTGGAGTTAAATAGTTCCAACCTTGGGGCGCCTGGGTGGCGCAGTCGGTTAGGCGTCCGACTTCAGCCAGGTCACGATCTCGCGGTCCGTGAGTTCGAGCCCCGCATCGGGCTCTGGGCTGATGGCTCGGAGCCCGGGGCCTGTTTCCGATTGTGTGTCTCCCTCTCTCTCTGCCCCTCCCCCGTTCATGCTCTGTCTCTCTCTGTCCCAAAAATGAATAAAAAACTTTGAAAAAAAATTAAAAAAAAAATAGTTCCAACCAACATAAAAACAGGAAGTGTTCTAAGATTTCTCCCGGCACCCCAGGGGATTTTGCAGTGCGCCCCACGGCACCGACGTACCCCGGGTTGGAGACCCCTGCCCTGGACTCCCCGACAGGAGAAGGGCAGAGAAAGGTGCAAAGCCTTGCCCGTCCACAGGGTGCTTCCGGCGGCCCCTGTTCTGATCCCCGTGCGTGGGCATCAGTCTGGCTCCCCAGAGCAAGCTTGTGGGGGCCTCCGCGGCCAGCACAGGGGCTCGACTTCAAGAGGGGACACTTGAATGGATGACCAGCAGGTGACAGCAAGCTTTCAGCACCAGCCAGACTCAGCCCAGAGCACCACATCATTGGGGCCAGCTGCACTGGGGCCAGGGGGTAGGGCCAGAGGGCTGGACCTTGGGGTCAAGGGTAAAGACAGTTCATCCTAGTGCTGATCAAATAGTTCTTGAACTACGTTTCAAAAGAACGACGTTTCTAAAGTCACTCCTCCGTTGCTGGTTCTGCTGCCTTTAAATCTCCTTTGACCTTGACGGGGAGTTCTAGCTGCCTCCTCCTCTGAAGATAGGCAACCGAGGCCCAGAGGGGTCACAAGACGCGCTTGGTGTCACTCAGAAAGGCCTGCGTGGACTCCAGGCCCCACCCTTCTCCCAAGGATGAATTTCCCTCCCCGGGCCTTTCTGGGGAATAGAATTCTTCTCCCAACAGCCTCCTCCCCAACTTTGCAGGCAGGAGTGAGCAAACTCTCCTATGGCACCTCCCATGGTGGCGCCCAACCCCTTGGCCGTCTCCTTTCCCGGCCAGGGGTGCACGACAGCCCCACCTGAAGGGGACCCTTCCCATCCCTGGGAGACCTCCTATCTGATGGAAAGGTGGGCCCCTGGCCGCAGCCCAATTAAGTGAAAATAGATCCGGCCTTATCAGGTTCAGGGGTAGTCCTTGGCGGTGGTCCCGTGGCGGCCCCGGAGGGTCGCTGTCTGTTTGATTTTCCTGCTCAGACACACTTGTTTAAACAGACCCTGGAATGCTCAGTGGCCTGAGCCAGCCAGGAGCGTGATTGCCAGGTAAGGGGAGGCCGGCTCGGATTGGGGGGCGGGGCGGGGAGGCGGGGGTGGGGGGGTGGTGGGGAGAGAAGCGGAGGAGGCCACCTTTAGACCCTGGAGGACTCTCCTCCACAGGGTGCTCCCTGCGGACTTGCTCACCCTCTCCAGCCTCTCTTTCTCCTTAAAGGTGAGGATTCGTTGAATAAGAGCCCCTCTTAAGTGTTTGGAGCTGCTCCTAACACAGCCGAGGGCTGGATGTGAGAGTCCAGGCTGTTCCCTGCCATCACAGTGCACCCTGGCCCTGGGCCGGTACTCTGTGCCCTTTTAAGTAGACGAGGAAGCCGGGTCCAGAGAGGTCCAGTGACTTAGATGGGCCAGTGCCTGGAGACAGCATCCCAAACCAGCCCAGGGACCCCAAAGCGGTGTCCTTTGGGCCCCACCACACCCTGAGCATGACTCCCAGCTCGGGCTCAGGGCCCTGCACCTGCGCAGTGTAGAGAGGGGCACAACCCAGTGGAGGCGGGGCTGTGGAGCCGCCAACCCCTTCAGCAGGGCCTGTGGGGTCCCTCCTGATCTGTGCCCTCCTTCTCCCCACATCTCCCCTCCCCCCTCGCCCCTTCCCTGGAACCTGGCACGCTCCTACAGCCTCTCCGGGCTCCTCCGGGCTGTCCAAGCACTCCTGCCTCCTCTGTGCATGCGTGGGAGGCTGTTCCCTATGCCTCCTGTTTTTTTTCCTCAGACACCAGCGTGGCTCCGTCCCTCCCTTCCTCCCTGGTCCCTGCTGCAACGTCACTTTCTCACAGCAGTCTTCCTCGACCACATTCTCGAAGGCACAAAACTCTCCCCCAGACAACCACTCCCTCTATCCTTATTTTTCTCCATAGCACACGTTGCCATTCAGCGTCTCACTATGTCCCTTTACCTGTTCGTTCTCTGTCTCCCCGCCTTCAAGTCCAGCCCGGCCAGGGCAAATGCTTGGTTGGCTCGGGGCTCTCTCTTTAGCACCAAGCACGGAGCACATAGCAGGTGCTCAGGAAATGTTTTTGAATGACTGAATCCATCTCCCACATACTCTCCGTGATGTTAGGAAAGTTGCTGACCTCCTCATGGCTCAGCTTTCTCATCTGTAAAATGGGCCTCATGAGTCCGCTCACCTTATGTCATGAGGAGTAAACAGGAAAAAGCATGTGAAGTGCTTGCCACGGTGCTGGATCCTCAGAAAGTCTGCAATAAAACTTGTTTTCTCACTAGAAGAGGTCTTTGGGCTTTCCAGAAGAGCCCTGTCCTGGCATGGAGTGATGTCACAAGAACAGCCCCGGTGACAGATTTTTAGAGCACATCCCAGAAGATACAGCCACTTTCTATGTCAAACTCTATCTGAGCCTTGCAGTGACTGTGAGCTGACCGGGAGATGTTTGAATCCGATTTTCTACATGGAAGGCCAAGGCCCAGAGAAGTCAAGACACTCGTCCAGGTGCTGCACAGCTCCTGGGGAGCTCTTTCACTTTCCCAAGACAACTCTCCTGGCCCTGCCCCAAACCCCCATCCAGAGGCCGGCAGCCTGTGGACCACTATCCTTGGACCAGCCAGGTGGAGGACGATGAACCAGTTCCGGAGAGAACAGCGAGCACAGAAGCAGGGGGGTGGGGAGGGGGCAGGCTGTACAGGGTGTGTGCGCCAGGGAGGTGACCCCAAGGGTCTGTAGGAGCCCCGCCTGCCTTCCGGTACTCCCAGACGCCCTGCACTTTTGGTCAGAGGGCAGTATGGGACAGTTCGGGGCTCCTATGGGCTCCTTTTCACCAGCAATAACAGTCATTACAGCTGCCTTCTCAAGCCCTCATTATCCTGTGTTTACAACCCTTCCAGAAAAACAGAAGCCCGCCCAGCACACCCCTCCCCGCATCACAGGCAGGGGCCTTAGTTCTGCTTTCTGACTACAGACAGAATAACCCTCCCTGAGACTCTCCTGGGGCTGGGCAGTGGTTCTTCTGCGTATGCTGTGAAGTCTCCATCCTGAAGGGCAAGAATTCTTTGGGCTGACGTTGAGACTTTACCCTCAGGATGCAAAGAAGGGAGTGATGTTGCCTCTGCCTTAAGCACTTTAATCATTTCAATGAATGTGTCCAACAACGCTTAAACCCAGGCACCATTAACCCATTGAACAGATGAGAAAACAGAGGCACTGGGAGGCTGTGGTCCGAGGCAAGGCACTTAGTGGACTATGCTTCTGACCTCAGACACGAGGAGAATGTTAGTGGCGCGATGATCGCCACCACGAAGCTTGTACAGGCTGGTCATTCACACCGTCTCATTGAATCCCTCCTGGCCACGCGGGATCTGCCCTGTGCTCTCCATGCCAGGGCTGGCCAAAAATCACGAAGGTGACGCGTAACTGGCCCAAGGTCACTCAGCCGCGGGAGGGTCCAGGGGAGGATCTGAACCTTGCAAGGGAGTCTCCTCAAAGAGGAAGTTGACACTTTGGGCAGAAGATCAGGGGAGGCTCATGCAGAAAAAAAAAAAAAAAAAAAAAAAAAAAAAAAACCCGAAAGGAAACAAATGTTTTTTGGCAGGAAAAGCCCCCTGGGATTGCTCCCTCTCCACATGTGCGTGGACATCAAAGGTGGGGACCATAGGTCGCTCTACTCAGCTGGTGCCTCTGGGGCAGAATTGGTCTCAAATACCAAGCCAGCACTGGGTCTCGGCTAGGGAGGGAGCCAGATGAAAGGGAGAGCAGGGGGAGGGAGGGGAGAGCAGAGGAGGAAACGAGGGTGCATCAAAGGGCCCTTCCTCCTGCTTTGCCAGGTTTGCTGTCCATGTGCAAGGCCCGGGGTGGGATGGGGGTCTTCAAAGAGGAGCCTTCGAAGAGCTCAGCCATCCTCTCCCGGACGCCAGCGCGTTCCCGAGCAGAGACCCAGGGCTT